AAATTCATGAGATGACCTCAACAGTAAACTTGAGTTGGATTAATAAACTTGAAGACAGATCATTAGAGATTTACAATCTGAAGAAACAAAAACAAAAATTGAATGTAGAAAAGTGAACAGAATCTCAGATAAAGTGGAACACCATTAACACACAAACATATACATAATGGGAGTACCAGGAGAGGAGAAAGAGACAGAAATTTAAAAATATTTGAAGAAATAATGGCTGAAAATTTCCAAGATTTGATGAAAAACACTAATCTACACATCCAATAAGCTCAATGAACCCCAAGTAGGATAAACTCAAAGAGATCTACAACCACATATCATAGTCAAAATATTGAAAGCCAAAGATAAAGAGAAAATCTTGAAAGGAGGAAGAGAAAAATGACTCATTACATAAAAGGGAAGCATAATAAGATTACATATGAGTTTTTATCAGAACAAAGTGGAGGCCAGAAGGCAGTCTAACAACTTACTCAGAGAGCTGAAAGAAAAAAACTGTCAATCCAGAATATTACAAGCAGCAAAGCTATTTTTTGAAAATGAAGATAATGAAAGTGGGAACATTACTACTGATTTTACAAAAATAAAAAGAATTACAAGATATTAGCTAAGCATGGTGGTGTGCACCTGTAGTCCCACTACACCAGAGGCTGAGGCAGGAGGATCACTGGAGCCCAGGAGTTGGAGGATGTAAGATGCAATGAGCTATGATCACACCACTGCACTCCAGCCTGGGTGACAGAGTAAGACCCTGTTTCTAATAAAAAAAAAAAAGGTACCCCAAAAATTGGATATCCACATGCAAAAGAATGGACCCTTACCTTACACCATATACAAAAATTAACTCAAAATGGATCAAAAACCTCATGTAAGAGTTAAACTATAAAACTCTTAGAAGAAAATATAGGGGAATATCTTCATGACATTGGATTTGGCAATAATTTCTTGGCTGTGACACCAAAAGCATAGGCACAAAAGAAAAAACATAGATAAATTTGATTTAATAAAAATTAATAACTTGGCCGAACACGGTGGCTCACGCCTGTAATCCTAGCACTCTGGGAGGCCAAGGCAGGTGGATTGTTTGAGCTCAGGGGTTCAAGACCAGCCTGAGCAAGAGCGAGACCCCGTCTCTACTAAAAAAATAGAAAGAAATTAGCTGGACAACTAAAAATATATAGAAAAAATAAGCCGGGCATGGTGGCGCATGCCTATAGTCCCAGCTACTAGGGAAGCTGAGGCAGTAGGATCGCTTGAGCCCAGGAGTTTGAGGTTGCTGCGAGCTAGGCTGACGCCACGGCACTCACTCTAGCCAGGGCAACAAAGCGAGACTCTGTCTCAAAAAAAAATTAATAACTTTTGTGCTACAAAGGACACTATCAAGAGAGTAAAAAAATCCACAGAATGGGAGAAAATATTTGCAAATCATATACATGATAAGGGGTTAATATCCAGAATATGTAAATAACCCCTACAACTCAACAACAACAAAAACAAACCAAATAAAATGGGCAAAGAAATTTATGAATAGATACTTCTCCAAAGAGGATACATAAATGGCCATTAAACACATGAAAAGACGCTCAACATTATTAATCATTAGGCAAATGCAAATCAAAACCACAATGAGATACTACTTCACACCCATTAGGATGATTAATAAAAGAAAAGAACAAATGTTGGAGAGGATGTTAAGAAATTGGAACCATGTGCCTTGCTGGTAAGAACGTAAAATGGTGCAGCAACTGTGGAAAACAATATGGCAATTCCTCAAGAAGTTAAAAAGAGAATTACCATATGATCCAGTAATTCCACTTCTAGGTATATACTCCACAGAACTGAAAGCAAGAACTCAAACAGATACTTGTACACCTGTGTTTATTTCCCCAAAACCTGAGAATATGTTACTTTACATTGTAAAAGAAACTTTACAGATACGATTAAGGTTAAGGACCTCGAAATGGGGATTTTATCCTAGACTATCTGGGTGAGCCCAAGCTAATCATATGAGTCCTTAAAAGTGGAGAACCTTTCTTGGCTGTAGTCACAGGTGGATGTGACTACTGAGGAAGGGTCAGAGAGACGCAACATTGCTGGAGTTGAAGATGAAAGAAGGGGGATCACGGGCCAAGGAATGCAGGTGACATCTAGAGGCTGAGAAAGCAAGGAAAGAGATTCTCCTGTAATCCTTCAGGAGGAACTGGCTCTGCCAACACCTTGATTTTAGCCATCTAAGACTCATTTCAGACTTCTAACCTACAGAATTGTAGGAGAATTACTGTGTATTGTTTTAAGCCGCTAAGTCTGTAGTAATTTGCTACAGCCACAACAGAAAACTAATAAACACAGTCCTACTGATGAAAATGCTGAAGCAGTTAAAAGGATGCAATAGAACAACCTGCACTGAAATAGGCACACAATTAAATAATTAAATAAAAAAATGCAAAAGGGAAGAACAACGTACACCACGTGAGCCCATTAAGGTAGCAGCAGAAAACTCATGCTATATACATAGCTGTGTATCTACATGTGGGAGCCCAGTGTTTGCCGAATATCTTAGGGTGGTTGCTGCCTCGGGCAAGAGTCCTCCTCTCTGTAACTCCCTGCCTCCATTAGGTGCCCACAGGTCTCCGAGAGGCCCTGGGGATGCACAGAAGACACCCCATTGCCCAACTATGGATATATTCACCATTATCCCATCCAAGGCTACAACTATTGGGTCAGGAATAGCAGGCAACCCAGTGCTAGCCAGTGAGACTCAGGAAAGGTTTACCAGCACCTCAGAAGAAGAGGTTTCCTCACTCTTCTCAAGAAGCTTCTAGCAGAAAGCCACACACCTGAATCCCCTGAGAGTGAATGGAACCGGGTGGGCTCACTGGGATGGTGTAGACCCCCTGCAAGCTCACAGGAGCCAGGCTTTGATGTCATTGACCCTAAGGATGGCAGAGCACAGAGGAGTAAAATAGACACCTGCGCACACCCACCAAAACTGCCTGACCTCTGAAATGTCCAGGGACAACCATCCACCAGTCTCCTTTACTCTTGGAGCCACTTGACATCAATGTTCTGTTCCTTGCAAGAGAGCATCTTCTGATTGACACAGGTGTTCATTCCTCTTCCCCTCGTTGGAGACTATGCATGGCTCTCTGGGTGCCCACACCCACGTTGAGGCCCAGACAGGGGACCAAGCTTCTGCCCCTACCCCAGGGAGGCCAGCAAAGGTACATGATGGAGACATCTCGCATTCAGGCTCTTGTGAAAACTTAACCTCTCAATTTATGAGGGGAAAGGAGGAAAGATGAGGAAGAGAGGGGAGCGAAGAGAATTAGAAAAAGAGGAAGGGAAGGGAGTAAAGGGGAGGGAGGTGAAGAGAAGGAGAGGAGGGGAAAGGTGGGGGAAGGAAGAAAGAGGAAGGGAGGAGTGAGGTAAGGAGGAGAAGGAAGGAGGGGAAAGGAGTGAGGGAAAGAAAGAAAGTGAGTTATATATAGGCAGGAAGACATAAAATGCATCATTTACAGAAGATACAATTGTCCTCTAAAACAAATCTAAATGAACCGCCTGAAAAATTAATCAAACTATAAGAGAATAAACTAAGAGGGCTAGGGGAAAATATCAGCATACAAAACCAACAACTTCCTACCCAGCATCAATAACAAATTAGAAAACATAATAAAAAAAAGATGTTCCATTAATGATAGCTACACACACTTTTAAAAATACTCAGGAACCGCCATGTGGCCTTGTGCCACCTGGCAGGGTTCCTCTACCCCTTTAGTGCCCTCTCTTCCTTGCTCACAGGGCTCCAGCCATACCGGCCTCCTTGACATTCATCACCAGCTCAGGCCTCCGGCCTTTGCACCGGCTGTTCCTTCTGGCCCCAGATATCCACACAGCTCACTTCCTCACCTTCTGGGTCTGTGCCAGAGTCAGCAAACGTTTCTGTAAAGGGCCAGATCATAAATATTTTAGGCTTTGTGGGCTGAGAAACAAAATTGAGAATATTAATGTATTTATATAACAAGAAAGAAAACAAATTTCTGCAAATTTTTTATTGAGGAAATTCAAATATAATAACCACTTTTTTCTTTTTGGACAAGTCTACTAAGAAGAAGAATGGAATTCTTTTAGGGGGATAACATCAATGTTAGTGTTCCCTATCATGAAATTGATTGCAAATGTTCTTCTGTAAAAAACATTCTCAGCTCGTGGGCTAAGATGTGGCGGTGGTGGGGAGGGTGCAGATTTGGTGTATACTCAAATAGTACCTCCTCAGTGAGGCCTTTCCAGGATACCCTCAAAATTGTGTCCCCCATCCTGCCCTCCCAATCCCCCAATCCTCCTCTCATTTTCTCTGTAGCACTTCTCACAATCTGATACACTCACATTATATTAGCTGTCTTCCTCTTTCATAAACTCTTCCTCCTGCAAACTTTATGTGGACAGGGTTTTTTGTCTGACTTGTTTATTGCTGTATTCCCAGCACCGGGAACATATCTGGCACATAGTAGGCATTCAATAAACATCTATTGAATGAATGAATGCCTGAGTGAATTAATAAATAAATAGAATTGTAGTGAAGATAGAACATGTTGACACCTATAAAAGCTTAGAGCACTGCCCAGCACACACTAAGTGCTCAGTAAATGTTAGTCACCCTTATTGTTGTTATAGTTGTTACTTTCAGGAAGGGCCCCAAGCATCTGGAAGGTGCAGGCACCAGAGAGAACAAAATCCTCCAGCCACCATAGTGTCCGGCCCCGGCCCCCTTGCCTACCGCATCTCCTCTTTCTGTCTCCCTGCTCCTTCTGTGGCTTCTGGTCTCCATCCCACCTACTGGACCCTGCATCCCCCTCTGGCTCTCTCAGTCTCTGTCCCTCAATTACAGATGGGATTTCTGGACCAGCTCCCAAGGCCCCTCACTCCCCACAGTGCCTGGGGCAGAGTCCCCCTTGATACCCAAGATACTTTGAACCCTACTGCCTGGTTCCACTCACCTCCATTCTGTCCCCCTGCCCCACTCCACTCCTTCACTGGTTCCAGCTTCCAAGCCATTGCCTAAGATCCTGGCCTCCCATGTCGCCACCTAAGTGCCCCTTCTCTGGGTACCCACAGCCCCCTCTGCGGATCCTTCAATGAACACTCTCATTCTGCCCAGACACCTGTGTTGTTCCTTTCTTCCCCCAGGCTGACAATTCCCCAAGCCCCTCCCTTACCGCTGCCCTGGGAAGTCCAGGGCCTGATCTCCGCCCCTCAGCTCCCAAGAGTCCCCCTCCTCCGGCACCTCTGGAAATGTTCCTGGGGTCTATCTACTCTCCCGGCACTGGTCCCCTCTCTAATCCCTACAGCAGTCCCACTGTACAGTGGAGGATATATTATAAGATGTGAGAGATTAAGCAATTTGCCAGTATCGCACAAGGTATAATAAAGCGGGGCTTGAACACAGGCCCCCGGGCAGGGCTGAGGTGCAGCCGGTTGGCGGGTACAGGGCCCGGGCTACACACACAGCAGACAAATAGATGGGTAGATTTTTGGATTAGCCAGCAGCTGAGCTGGGACAAGAAACCAGAGCTTCTCCCCCTGCAAGGCCAGGAGCTCACACGGGAGCCGGCTCCCTCCCCTGGCCCAAGGCCAGCCGTCAACCCCATGAGGTCAGCCACGGCCGGGCGATTTCGGGGAAATACCAGCTCCTTATTAAAAACAGGCGGTGGTCAGGCCCCCGCTGCTTTCCCAGTAGAAACTGGAGTGTTTGTTCCAAGAGGAACAAGAGTGGGCGGGGCCTGGCCGGGGCCCTGAGGCGGGAGGCTTGAGCCTCAGTACCTGGTTGAGTCAGGGCGTCCAGGGGAACTGCGGGGGCCAGTGGGGGGTCCCCCGGGCTCTCACCGGGGCAGCCCGGGTGAGGGGCGGGCACCGGCCCAGAGAGGGGACCGTCACACAGCACACGGAGGCTGCACCGACCAGCGAGGGGTCGTGGACTGTGACGCCCACAGCCGCCCCCACGAGGATAGAACTCAGGAAGAAGGCAAGGCCCAAAGAAAAGCGGGCGGGTGACATAAGGCCCTCCTCTTCCGGGCGCGCAGTCCCCACCCGCGCGCCTCCGCCGCCGCTCCCAGCCCGCGCCCCAGGAGCCCCGCCGAACCCCGCCTGCAGGGGGCGCCAGAGGGCCGCGCCCCCGCCCGCGCCCGCCCCAGCGGCGTTCGGTGCCGGCAGAGGCCGCCCGGCATCTGGAGCGAGTTAGGGCTGGCGGCCTGGCGGGCGGCGGCGTGAGCTCATCCCGGCCCGCCCCGCTGCGGTTTCCACGCGGCTGTGAAGGGAACAGAACACAGAAGCGCCGCGCCGAGGGCCCGGCCCGGGGAGCGCGGCACAGCAGCCGCTCCTCCCGGGATGTGGGTGGGAGCGCGAGAGGCGGGAGTGTGTGTCACTGGCGCGTCGCCGAGAGAGGCTGAGCCCTGGAAGCCGGCCGCCAGCATGTGTCGCTGGCTGTCACCGTGCGTCGTGGCTTGCAAGGGTGTGTGTGTGTGTGTGTGTGTGTGTGTGTGCCCCGTGGGGGGAAACTGTGCGTGTGGCTTACTGTGCGTGTGGTAAGCCACACACCTCCCGGCATGTACTCTTCATTTTACAGAAAAGAAGGTCAAGGGCAGGGGCGGGGGGGCGCCGGCCAGGTGCACAGGCGAGGTCCCATCTCCCTGGTCCTGAGCCTGTGTCCTTGTGTGAATACAGGAGCTCTGGACCAGACCACGTGTCCCATAGTGCCTGGGGCTCACCTTCCCTGACACACACACATACTCTTCCTGGTCACTAACCCCCATATCCCCAAGGACCTCAGGGACTCTCCCGGTTCTGGAGGGAAGAAACCCCTTCACACCAGGGCCATGGCTAACAGTGACACACAGCCACACAAGGAGACAGGGACAGACCTGGATACAGACTTACACATGGAGGCACAGGGCAAGGGAAGTCCTATTCTAGGAATCTTAGTTAGGAGAGCCAACAGGCAGGTGGCAAGGTGGTGACAAAGCTTGGAAAGGCCTCTTGTTGAGATGCCCCTACCTCCTGCCCAGGCTGGAGGTCACTGAACCCTGCACCTTAGGAGCCTCAGCTCTTTGCCATGGGCCCTGACGATACTGCCCCAGGACTCTCAGGGACAGGAGCCAGGGTGGGGAGGGTGGGCAGTCACCAGACCCTGGGTGGGGAGCTGGACTGGGGTGGGTGCCTCAGAGCATCCAAGGCTCCTCACACCCAGTCCTCATGTTGGGCTCTCACCTCAGGGACCTACTGTCCCAGCTTTGGGTAGATGTAGCCCAGCTGCCCTGGAGACCCCAGGAGGCATCCCTGGCCACCCATCACCCACTAGCCTTCCTGCCGGGGCTCACAGGGTTGTAATGCTCCCATCCTCCTCCCTTCACCCCACAGCTGGTCTATGGCTCTGAGACAGTGAGCCTGCCTGCAGGACGGGGCACATGAGTCTTTCACCCTTCCTTACCAGCTATTGCTCCTGTGGCCCACAGCACAGGATTGCAGAGGGTTGGCGATGCTGAGCTCGCTGGGAACTCAGGTCCTCCATATCCGCCCCCACCCCCTGCCGTGAGACAGAGAGGACACCCTGTCCTGGCCAGGCCACCACAGGGCACATAAACTGTAAAGGGGTTTGGAGGCACAGGGGTCTTCAGCTCCCAAAATGCAGGGCAAGCTGGGTGAAAGATTTTTTTAACTGAAATGGCTATGGTTTGCATAACCAGAGCTTCCAAATTACTTAGCAAAACATGTTTGCTTTTTAATTAACATGTGCTTGGAAAACAATGGTTTTAATTAAAGTGGGTGGGGGAGAGAAGGGACGGTGGGAGAGAATATTTCAAGGAGCTCCAAGTTCCACGCTAGACTTCTTACAAATAAAGTGGGGGCCTTGCCCCAAGCCAGCAGTGGCAGCAGCAGTGCTGGGAGGTGAGAATTCCTGGGGAGCCCCAGGAGCAGCCCTATCTGCTTGCTCTCCAGCTCCCTTGCCGAGAATTTGCCCTGTGCTGACCGCTGAGTTGCTCGCCTAGCCATTGTTCCCTGGGCTGCTCTGGGAAGGGGTAGACTTGTAGAAAGCAGGCTTGGGGGCAGATGCATGGGGTCCAGCAGGCAGATAAGGGAGATAAGCATGAGTGAAGACCTGAGCTTGTGGGCCTTGTTGGGGGAACGTTAGGTTTACTGGGGAGAGAGGAGAGGTGGGGAGAGGTGTCCTGTAAAACCAGGGAAATTTCAGATCCTCCTTTCCAACTGATAGACTATAAGGATCATGCTGGACCTGGGAGCCACTGATGTCCAAATCCCAGGGAGACTGGGGAGCTGGTGCCAGGGACATAAGGGTGGAAGGGAGGGTGACTGCACATGGGGCAGAGGGGTATGTGAAGAACTGGCCAGAGGAAGGGGAGGGCTTGGAGACTGGAAGCAAGGGTGTTCTGGGACCTCTGGGCTTGCTCCCAGAGACTGGTGGGCGGGGCTGCAGGTTTGATCTGTCCAGCAGAGACCAGCATTGGCCCCATTGTCCTGCATGGAGAAGGCACCCAGTGGGCGCTCAATAAATGCTTGTGGAAGGATAAGAATGAGGAGATGGTTCCTTGGAGTCAGCCTCACCATCTCCCCCTTCTGGGCTTTTGGGGTCGATGTCAGCAAGAGGTATAGCCTGGGGTCAGATGTCAGCACAGAGTTGGGAAAGCACCCCACCCCTTCACCCATGCAGACCAGGGGAAGATTGAGAGGAAGCCTCTGGGTAGTAAGGGTACCCCCAGAGTTCGGGTCAGATGGCCCAGAACCCCTGGCTCCCAGCAGCCCATCCAGGACCCTGTTTCTCATTAGGGGCCTTCTTGCTTCCCCAGCCCACACCCCCACATGAAATGTGCCTCCCTATACTTAATTCATTACACCAGCTGGGTGGGAGGCCTGGCGGGGGGAGGGGTACTTTTTCCCCTGAGCTCAGACATTCCTCACTTTATTATTCTCCACATTTCAAAGCAGCTGTTGCCTCCCCCAGCGGCCCCCAGCCCAAGCTCAGAGTCCTGAAGGGGCCTCTTCAGGGCTCAAAATGCCAGAGTCTCCAACACCTCCAGCCTGGCACAGGAGGGAAGTTGAGGCCCAGAGATGGATGGGGTAGGGCGTTCCCCCAACAGTCTGCACCCGAACTTATCCTCCCCCCACCCCGTGCCTGTCATCCTCCCATAATGTTGTCTTCCTTGCTGTGTTCACCCCCTGCCCCCCATCGACTTTCTACACAGGTGACCTCAGTGGCTCCTCCACAATACACAGAGACAACCTTTGCCTTCCCGCTCCTGGAGCAGGTGCTAGAACAATCCTCAGAGTCCCTGCTCTGCTCAGGGACCTAGCAAATGGAGCCCCCACTGAGCTGGTGGCCTTACACAGGGCAAGGCCCGTCCTGGAGCAAGAGCTCAATCTGGAAAACAGTAGGGCTGGAGTCAGCCTAGAGGACCACCCGGGGCCAGGCGAGGGGAGAAACAGCTCTGGGGACTCAGCTACAGAGAACAGGGGAGACCCTGGGCAGATATCTGCCCTATGTCAGAGAGCTGCCCATGCAGAGCTGCCTCAACAGGAGGTGAGATCCCTGTTGCTAGGGGCATTCAAGCATGAAGCAGTTTGGTCAAACGTGCCCTGGAAAAGAGGTTGGCCCAGTTATCTGAGGCCCCTTCCTGCCCAAATTTTAGGTCAGAGTCTGGGGCTGGTGGGCTCTCCAGATGAAAGGAAATGGAGTCCCTCCTCACTCGGGGGCTGCTGGATAAGTCTAGAAGCACAGGCCAAGGCACGTGGACAGAATACCAGGGAACTCCCAGAGCAAGACCTGGCCAAGGTGTTTTTCTCGTTGGTTCACTAAAGTGTCCTGGCACCTAGCAAAGGGCTGGGAGTGCAATAGATGCACGACCACTGTGTACTGACGAGCTTGGGAAGGACACGCCCCATTCAAGAGTCTCTGTCCAGGGGTTTGGGGAGATACTCACTGCATCAAACTGAAATTTCCTCAAAATTTAAAACTGACTTGTTTTATTTTGACAAATAAAGATGTA